GATATTTTTTAGGTTGTTCCGTAATCGAGGAGTCGTTAGGTAAACACCCTTAATTTGATTTTTAGCGCCACTTAACATGAGGGCACTTTTTTTATCCATACGATATGCATATGGGGTGAGTTCTTTTTAACATGGCAAATGGGGAGGGTAAAAAATATACGAGCATTACAAAAAAGTTGACATGGTAATTGGTGTATCGGATGCTCGAAATGAAGCCATTATTATGTAATTGACCTTTATCGGGAATTAGCTGGGAGGGGAGTTTTTAAAGGGCGTGGTTTTTTGTGGGTAAGATCGGATTTTTTAAGGGGAGTGTTTTTTATTAGCCATCATTATTGGTTTGAGATAGTGGGGTGGTTTTTATGGAATGGGCTGATTTTTATCATTATGACAATTATCATAAGTAGGTATAAACGGTTATTATATATTATTTTAAACATATTATAGCTTAAAGTCACAAAAATGTATACTGTTAGAATAACATTAAACACTTTTTGGTTCTCCTTAGTTGTATCGCTTAAACTTCCAGATCGAATAGTAGTAATCTTAATGGAATCCAATTTCCCTCTTTTCAAGGATCAGTAGTATGCAATTCCTAGATCTCTTGGCATACTTCGGCCCTCATCTGCTGCAGGCCGCGCCTTTGTCCGCATAATGAATTCATCACATCAAATGCTGATCCTGGTTGCGATCGCAGGACTCGTCGATAGGCAAGAACAGAGGAAAACCCAACAATTGAAATCCAACAAGCGGACGCAAATGCACAAAATTCAAATGTCATTCAAATAACGGCTGTCAGGACAATGGCCACGCACGCGGTCAGGATCGAAGTGGTAGTAGGAGTAGGAAATATAGCCGAAAGGTGGTTGAGGTCCTGTAGAAAGATGACGATGACGAGGAGTGGGAGAGGTAGCAGAAACGCCTGCATCTCATTTGGGGACTTCAGCAAATCGATGTACTTCTATTTTCCCTTTAAAATGCACTTGGAAAAAATCATACGTTTTTAAATTACCAGCGAAATGTTAAAGTTTTTTTGAGTTGATTATGAATCTTTAGATATATATGAGTTTTATATTTATATTTATTTTATATAACATTTTACCCCCATTTATTTCGAGTGTACTGCAATATCCTGGCACAGGATACATGTGCGTATATTGTTATTGTTTTCGAGTTCCATCCGGTTTGGCCTCAGCTGACTGACAGCCAGCGGCCGACGGCTACAAAAACATTCCGCATTCTGCACCTCCAACCAAAGGCGACGATGATGAGGACAAAGTCGGACTGCCGGCTGAGGCCTCGACTATCGACTTCCTTTCCGCCGCCAAACCACAACAGATCCACCCGGTCCATCAGGGTTTCTTGTTTCTGACCCGATAAGCGTGACATTTTCATATTGCCGGCGATCGCAATCGCAGTTCTCTCAATCAGAATTCAGATTTCCCAGTCAACCATAGGTTCATTCATCCATTCATCTATTGATTGCAGCTTTGCCATTTCTGAGGCCAATCACACGCTGACGGGATTAACAGAAGTGCTGTTTTTTATCTGGGCTAATTGGACCGATCCAGTCTTTGTCCTCCTAAGCGGACAGCCATGAAATCAGAGTCCGATCATCCGATGGGCCAGCTCTGATACATGTCTCTCAAGGTCCTTTCTTATCTGGCTTTCTTTTTCCAAGGGCGTGCAATTGGCGTTAAATTTGAGCTGACATTTAGCTTAAGGACTCGCAAGGAAGGACTTTCTTCTTTGATCTTGGACGATATAAGACGATATGAGACGATCTATAACTATAAAAACAAATTTTCAAGAGTAATGTTTTAAAGAACCTCAAATGCTTAAGAATAAATAATTTGTTAGTAATAATATTATAATATTGTACTTAAAAAACATATTATTCTTCGAATTTATTGTACAATATCTACAATCTACAATATGAACTGTGGCAGCTGTTTAAGGAGCACCCTTTCCTTGGAGCACATCAAATTTTGGAGTCTGAGAAATTAACTAAGAACTACCAGAAATTAGGGCATGACTCCATAACTCGCCAGTCGGGAGCCAGGGCAGATGTCAAGCTGCTAAAGATCACACTAAATACAAATATCGCCCAAGGAGCTCAGCTCATTTGAATGAGGGGTCTCAGGCTCAGTTCCCGGGAAAGCAAACAAATTCCTATCCTCAAATCCCAAAGGAGCAGACATAAGAAAATCATTTGTTTGGGGAAGGGGGAAGGACTCCAAGGGATCAACCCTGAGTCAAATGCCAAGAGTCCCCTTCGGAAAATCTGAATGTCGCGTGTTGGCGCGTAAGATTTGTGTTTTCCGGGTCGGCGTCTCGGAAAAATCGGGGTCACACAAGGGGTCGGGGTCGGGGTCGGGACTCAAGGCATTATAATAGGCTCATTTCCTTGCCTGCTCCTTCGGCTCCTGATTTTCTGAGCGTAATAGCGTAAACATTTAACGGGAGCGTGCGCTGCGCACGCGCAACATGAACTCACATGGCGACCCCGAGTCCTTAGTCCTTAAATTCCCTACCCTTCGACCCTAACCTCATCCCGATCCCAATCTCCGCGCCATTGTTTGATTTCCTTGAGGATTTGCGCGTCTTATGATTGATTCAATGTTTTGTAACGATTGTTGTTCCCATGATTTCCCCATGTACACGATCACAATCTTGTGGCATTCTCTAAGCAGCATTATGAATCTTTTTATGCGTTTTCGTGGGTGTTACGTTTGGTTGGGGGATCAGGGTTCGGAACTGTCTGTTTGGCAAATATTCAATTCATCTTTCTTCTGAATGAAAAGCGAGGAAAAGCTGAAGCGAATGGGAAGTTACCATTTAATGATGCATGGAGAATGGCTTAGAATAATCGAGAAAATATATGATAAACTCGCAGGAGTTAAGACAGATATTTTAGATTCCTATTTCAATATCAATAACTAACCAACTGGTAATTAAGTCTAAAAAACCTTCTTCAACCTAAGAAACCGTTTTTGACAACCCTTGAACCACAGTCAATTTTTGCATATAATAAATATTATATGATGAAAAAATACATATATGATCAGAATACTACTTCTGGAACCGAAAACTGTATATGTAGCTGAACGTATACCCTTTTTTTGTAAGTTGGTCCCCTGGCAACACATGATATCTCAGAAGCAGCAATCCGTGATGCATGTGGTACATTTAACACCTCCAATTCATAATGAATAAGTTAAGAGCATCAACAAACCAAGCACGAACATATAGGCGGATGACTACTGCACATGGGACCCCGATATGGATGGGGATCTGTGATCTTGGACCTGGGTGCCGTCGGAGGTGCTTGTTCGCCACGCCCGTATCGTCCAGGACATGTGTTAATCAAGGGGCAACCTCAGCAGCGCATAACTCAGTTGCAGATGGACTAATTTTTGTGTAAGTCGGGTAATACTCACAGGAGGAGGGGTAAACCCTACACAGCTGCCCGAAGGACTAAAAATAGTCGATGGCAAGGTGCAGGCTGTGTTACAATTTATGTGACACAATTCTCATGTTTGCGCTTAATTTTCATTTAATTTTTATGGACGCCAAAAAAATGTCGGACGGCTGCTGCTTGGATACTACGAAAGACCCGGCCAATTTTGGTATCCAGATCGGAACAATGAGGCGGACAAAGGAGGTAACATGAGCTAAAAAACCAATAGAAGTAACAAAATGTGACAGGCAATCGGAAGAAGACAAACAAATGAAGAATCCAGAGAAAAGCGCAATTGTTGCAGGATGACAATTGAATGCAATCCGGAAATGTCCTGCGTGGACAAGGATCGATGGCCATCGCCCAAGTGGATTTTCTTCGTGACTCATAGAGTGAGTAAAAGAGAAATCTACCCAAAGAGAAAGGCTCAATTGCCTTTTTTTCTGTAAAAATAAAAATCAACCCCTATATGAAGTCTCAACTCGATTTCGTTTGAGTTAGGATCGGTTTTAGCAACCAACTCGGAACAGATTGAGTGAAGATCTTTTGAGCTGAGTTTCCTGGGATTTCGAGACCCCGGGAGTCCTCCTAACAAATTCAAACTTGACCTCTAAGGCGACCTCAAAGATGGGAAATGGGAGATGAGAGAAGCGCGCGCGTTGCTCCTTTTGTGCCCTCATCCTTCGCATCCTTCGGGTCACCTCCTGACCTTTTCCCTTGGCACCCGCTTGCCCTTTGTCTCTTGCCCGGGATCGTTGACAAAAGACCTGGGGCATTGCAATAAATGTGATAAAGATTGTTTTTTGTCTTTCTGTGCAATTGCTTGGACACCGTGCCATAAATTGCCCATAGACCGGTGATCGCCGATCGCTGACCGTTGATCATCGACTAGGGGTTTGGTTTGCAAGGAAATAACCTGAATGATGCCTTAATTGTGGGACAGGCAGCTGAAACCGTCGGGTTCCATTGAACTACCCTGCAATTGTGGGAGTTTAACGCGTGTTTTGCTCTGATCAAAGGTCCGTCCTTAGGCGCTAGTTCGATATCTTACACATGTAATGCTCGAATTCATTGCTGATATCTGTAGAAGTGGCTTAAATGGTGAATAAAGAAAGTTGCCGTTTGACCATCTCATAGTTGAACTTAAAAAAAATATATTTTTATATATGGTAAATGACCATTGGTCATATAGATCATGTTATATATTATATATATACATTTCAAAAAACATTTCCTGATGCATACAGAATTTCGTAACTATCTTACTTGATCTTATATACCATCACTATAAGTTGTAAACCACCGAAACTAATGAATCGTCTAATTTTAAATTATGTATTGCACCATTTATTTTAAATTCAGTCAGGCAAAACGAGTTATCGGTAGAGGTTCAACATTGGTGGTCTAATGAGGACTACCGCACTAAATATTGTCATTATCCTTTCAGTAGGTCTCCTGAAAGTGGGTGAGTAGGTGTCGTTCATTTTAGTTATAGCTAATCAAAGTTATACCCCATTTAGGTGGAAAAAGACTAAAAACAAATACACAGACGGTAAGGTTTTGAATTTATGCATCTTGTTAACCCACATGAGATTATACAAACTGTATTTTTACAAAGGATTCCCTGCAAAAGACTGATGAAAGGTTTAGAGACTTACTAAGGGAGATTAATTCGACATACCATAATAGACCCCTTAACACAGCAAACAATAAGGAATTTGAGAAATATTTCCGAAAAGTTGTATCTGCCTTAAATTTATCCATTTATGACCTAGGTACTAAAATTGATATCTATACAGATTTCACAGTTTACAATCAAATTAGATTAGAACTTGAAAGAGAAATGTTCAAAAGAAACAAGTTGCGGAGAGACTACTTAAGTATAAAAATCTGTTACCAAAGTGTCGAACGTTTTTTTCAAATCAACTAATCCAACTGAAGGCAAGCTTCACTAAATCGAACATGATGAAAATGGAAATACTACATGATCCTAGTCCAGAGTGTGAAAACGTTGAGCTAGAAAAGATTTTCGTTCCCCCAACTCCAACTCCGAAACCGATAAATTATGATCAAGAGCTTCATGATATTTTGCAAAAATATAAGAAGCGTCCTTGGGGAAGTAAAAAATATGTAGAGTTCGACGTACAAATATGGAAAGTGTTCATGGCCACCAACAACGTAAGCAAACGTAATAAAATGGAGGCAGTGGACGCCTTTTTGGCATATGACGATGATCGTGACAAACTGGATAAGGCCTTGGCAAATAGAATTGGAAAATTTAAAAAACGCATTGGAACTGAAACACATTCAGCTTGCAAATCTGACCTAATAAAATTAAACAAGAAACTAGCTCAAGCAATGTTCAATACCATTCAGGAAAAACATACTACCCTAGTCGCCACAAACTATGTACAATCTTGTCTCTAAAATCAAAGGTAATAATATTACTTTTACTTAACTTATTAAAGTTTGTATTTATTAAATTTATTTTTGTTGCCAAGAACCTAATGTTAAAGTTACATTAAATGGTGCAATACCATTTTAGAAACATACAATTTTTTAAAGTATGTTGTTTTTTTATAAAAATCTTAGTCTATCTATTTTTTATTGCCTTGACTGGCTGACAGTTGCTTTCGAATCCGGGCTTGGGCTTCCACTGGCCAGTTCTTGAGCTCGTCCTGACCGCATGGCAAGCAAAACGTTGATGTGTAGTAAAAACTGCAGCCAGGATCCTTGCACACTGTCTTGGAGCAGATCGAGCAGTTGCCCCCAGTGAGATATAGTATTCTGCCTTTGTCTGCCAACGAGGTGGAGGTGGCTGAAAGGATCCCGCATCACGTAGTTATCCTCCGGATATTGATTCCCAGGGAAAAGGCGGTTCCTTCCAAATAGTGGACCATCTCCTGCATTTCACAGCCAGAGCAAAGGAACTCAATGCGTGCTACCCGTTCATCCTCCTCCTCGGGATCTGTGGGCTTCTTTTCCTCCTCTGGTAGCCCTAATCGTTGAATCTCAGCTGCCTCGTTGTCCAGGACGAAGTCTTCATCGGCCTCCATTTCTGCAATACCAACAGAGAAGCAAGAACTGGGCAAACTTTGACGATGACTAGGTTACGTTTACTACACTAATAACAATGGTAAAATAACAAATAGCGGTTCAAATCAGCTCGTGGGTCATTCAGCGAACGCCTGGCGGCGCTTTCCAGGCAGATCCTCCGGCCACCATTCCGGTCGTTCGACGAAGCAGCGCTCCCCATCAATCATCAGCTCTGGGCGACCGTTGAGAACCTTCTCGATGCGTAGCAGGGCCACCCATGATTGTGGGCAGATCCAAAGACGCGGCCCAGTTTCGCTCCGGCCACGGAGGTTACTTCCTGACTGGAGCCCGCTCGATTGGGGCCGTCAGCCGGATGGGCATATAACGCTTGCGGATCACACCCGAATGATGGACGCGGGCGGTAAGCTCCTGGCCCACATAGCAGCCCTTGTGGAAGCTAACGCCGTGCAGGTAATCCGCATTGGCCTCGAGGGGAAAGCACTTGCCCGGCGGCAGTTCCGAGCTGCCCTCGCCCACTCCTTGCTTGTAGCGCAGCAACTGGTAGTTGTTGTCCTGGGTGGCAGCTGTGGCGATGCCAAAGTCGGCGAAACTCTTGGTCAGCTTGCCCCAGTCCATGTCGGTGGGCGCCAGGATGCGAGTGCCCAGGCGGGCAGTCTTGGATCGGGCGATACAAACAGATCTGGATGCGGATTGGCACAGCCTCCGAGGCTCCTGGAAGTTAAACATCACCCAAGTGGTGTACTCATCATCCACACTGTCCACTTCGATGCGCCGGCGAACGCGGTAGGTGCGCAGATGGCGCCGGAATCTGAGGAAGCCTCGCGATCGCACTCCACCAGGATGGTGTCCGGATTGTTGGTGCGGTAAGGATGGTGTCGTACAGGACCCGACCGGATTTGTTGAGGAAGTGGGCGTACTGGGAGGCAGGCCTCCATTCGACTGAATCTTCGCCACATCGTTGGTCGCCAGACCCTGCAGGAATGGCACCACCTCGGCCCCGTGGATGCGGATGAGTTCCGGTTGGCCAGCGGCTCGAGGGTGAAGTTCCGCTGACTGATGCCCATCGGACGGGCATAGGGAATCCGCAGCTTGTGGAGATTACGTATGTGCTGCCGCGCCGCGAGCAGGAACCGCGGATTTGACCACCTATTCATGCTGCAAAACGGAGGCATCGGATGCCGGCAATTGGTATTCGAAGTGCCAAAGGAAATAGCTCTTACCTTGTGTAGTAAATATTACTCAATTTATTTTATCTAGCAGCGGAAACTTAAATTTGGTACACAAAACAAAGTCAGGCAAGGAACTGATTTTTTGGCACCCGGCTCATAATATCGGGACTTGACAGTTCGTTAGAGATGAGCGCTTGATGGGGTTTTTAAACGTGTCACGGTTGCGGATGACAAAAAGTTCAGAACATGAAACTAATAAAAATATAAAGTATCACACAGATTGTTATAAATTATAATTTTGTATCAAATTATTGTTATTATTAAATATAAAAGCTTAGACTTTTTATTTATAGAGTCACCACCAAAAATATATTCTTTTCAACATTCAATTTATCAAAATATAGAAAATAATTTTACTAACAAAAAATAGTATTTAAAAATCAAGAAATTTTAAAACTTAGTCTAGACCCTGTTTTATTTGTAGTTTAGTTATTTTACATTTTAACTCACTTCACCGATTTTCAGATAGACTTTCTCACGGTTCCATCTCTAAACAGCTGTTTCCTATCGTGACACCACATCATCTTGTTTCGCCTGGCTTATTTAGCCCATTCTACACGAAAAATCGGTATTTCGAGGCGCAGTGGGCGCAGCCACTCTGCTGGAAACACAAGAAATTAGTTTTAAACAAAACAAAATGAGTCAATACAGCCACGTTAAGTATACGCAATCGCCGACGCCGTCGGTGGTTTCCGGCTACTCGAGCGCCTCGCGGCTCCACTCGCCTCTCCCGCCGCCCGCCAACCACCGGAGGGACTGCCTCTCGGCGACCACCAAGAGCTACAAATACCTGCGACGTCTGCTCAAGTTCAATCAGATGGACTTCGAGTTTGCCCTGTGGCAGATGCTCTACCTCTTCGTGGCGCCCCAGAAGGTGTACCGGAACTTCAATTACCGCAAGCAGACCAAGTCACAGTTCGCCCGCGACGATCCGGCGTTCCTGGTCTCCTGGTGGTCTGTCTATGTGGTGAGTTCTACGCCCAACCACCCAGGGGGAGGGAAAGCATCTTTACATCTGATGGGGTACCATCTTTCACCTTATCTAAGAACAAGAAATCAGTCAATATTCTATTTAACGAGCAAAACCAATTATTTCACCATTGCCAAAAGATTGCTCTTAAACAGTAATCCTTATTTTATTTTCTTAGATGTATAAATTGTATCCATTCACATTTAAATTCAGAATTCTTTCTTTTAAGGGAAATATTATCCACACATATATTATTTCATAGCTTTAAATCAAATATTTAGTACTTTAGGACAGAGCCTAACCGTATAAGCAAAGAATGACTATCCTTCCTAACATAGTTAAGGTTGCCACATTATCAAGCTTAAAATACATTATTTTAACTTCCATATCATTCAACAGTCACCTCGCTGGGTTTTGCCTACGTACTGGGACTGTCCTTCTGGCAGAGCATCTCCTTCATCTTCTACGTGGTGTTCGTGGACTGCATTTTCGTGGGCATCATAATTGCCTCCTTTTTCTGGGCGGTCACGAATCGGTATCTGCGCACGAACAGTCTGGAGCCGGATATCGAGTGGGGCTATGCCTTCGATGTGCATCTGAACGCCTTCTTTCCGCCCCTGATGCTGCTGCACTTCATCCAGCTGTTCTTCTACAACTGGCTGATCAGCCAGACGTGGTTATCTCCCGGTTCTTGGGCAACACATTCTGGCTGCTGGCCATGGGCTACTATGTGTACATCACCTTTCTGGGATACAATTGTAAGAGTATTAGGCATTGAAATGTTCCCTAAATAACAAGATTTTCACGTTGCAGGCATTCCCCATCTAAAGAACACCCGCATCATACTCATCGCCCTGCCATCATCTTCCTTCTGTTTCTGGTTGTCACAATTATTGGCTGGAACGCCACGATATCCTTCGTCAACTTCTACAAGTATCGAGTATATTAATCATGTAACGTGCGTTGTAAATTATTTCGCGTTTAGCTGCTAAGCACTATACATTTATGACTAATAAACTAATTAATTTAGCGTTATCCAAATCGAAGGTGTAAGAAGTGCTCTTTTATAGTTTTCAAATGGAGAAGAATGATTCTTTTCAAAATAGTACTGACTAGCATTTTATAATTTTAATCCTGAAGCCATTAATAGAAGTATTTAGTTTTAGTAATTTTTGTGAAATTGAAGAGCGACTGTAAATTAAAATTCTTAGCTGGCTTTACCATGTATACTTCAACATTTTCCGAATTTATTAATCTACAAAATGGACAACAAATGCATTTACGCCAGCTGCTTGGGCTTGACGAAGGTGCGCTTCCGCTTGTTGCGCTTGCGCTGCAGCTCCAGGGTGTGCAGTTCCGTGTGCACCTCGGCGAAGATCTCCGTCTGCTCCTCCTCGGGAATCGAGCTGCGGTAATCCTTCATCATGTCGTACTTTTCCCATGGTTTCTGCACCTTGGCCGCCGACAGGCGATGCTTGTCCTTCAGATACTCATCGATGTTGGCCACGCCACGCAGATTCTGGCGTTCCCAGCGCTCCAGCCAAGGACGTGGTCGCAGCACCACCTTGATGTCATTCACGGGCACTGGAGCTCCCTCCTCCAGCGGTTCCGCCTCCATGTTCTCATCAAAGTGCTGTACTCCGGCAGAGCATCTCGCAGGTAGAACAGACTGTCGTCCAGACGTTTCTCCAGCCGCAGAACCTCCACCTTTTGGATGGTGGGATCGTACAGCTCGTAGACCACCTCCATGCCCTGGTGATCGATCACGTTTCTCAGGATGAAGCGGGCGCGCAGTCCACAGCGATCCCTGTTGATGCAGATGCCCACGAAGCGACTGGTCTTGCCGGCGGCATGGGGATCGGAACTGGTCACTGCCAGCACGGAGCCGACGTAGAACTCGGGCAGATCGATCTGTTTGCGCCGGTCCAGCATGTCCAGGCGCTCTAGTTTCTCGCGGATGGGGTTGCGCCACTCCACCTTGGGATCGGGCAGGAATTCCGGGTAAACAAACCGATAGTTTGACGGAATAATTGGCTTGCGTGTCACAGGAGGAGATGGTGGAGTTGGCGGGGCAGCCGGAGCCTCTTTTTTTTGTTCCTCCTGATTTTCAACAGCATGTTCCGCAGTCTTCGTGGAGTATGTGACTGAAAAATAAGTTTCCTGAATGTGTGCCGCAGGGGAAAATGTGGATACTTACCAATCCGCTTGTAGGCGCCCTGCTGCACCACTCTGCTTAGCAAAACTCTGGTACTTAAGTTCATTTTTAATAGTTTTACCGAGTCGCTGAAACAAATAAATGTTTAGATAATCATGCCGCACGATAATCAGCTGCTGCCAGAGATGACGATAGCGGAGTTATCGATATATTCCGCGATTGGATCAGAGCAGAGACTGCCAACTTGTTTGACTTTACTTTAAAAAAAAGTAACTGACTTTTAAATATTTTATACCGTTACTCGTAGAGTAAAGGGTATACTAGATTCGTCGGAAAGTATGTAACAGGCAGAAGGAAGCGTTTCCGACCACATAAAGTATATATATTCTTGATCAGGATCACTAGCCGAGTCGATCTAGCCATGTCCGTCTGTCCGTCTGTCCGTCTGTCCGTCTGTCCGTCTGTCCGTCTGTCCGTCTGTCCGTCTGTCTGTCCGGATGAACGCTGAGATCTCGGAAACTATGAGAGCTAGGCTATTGAGATTTGGCGTACAGATTCCTGAGCTTCTTACGCAGCGCAAGTTTGTTTCAGTAGACTGCCACGCCCACTCTAACGCCCACAAACCGCCCAAAACTGTAACTCCTACAGTTTTGATGCTAGATAGAAAATTTTAACTGAAATGTATTGTTCTCATCAATACATATCGATTGACCCAAAAAAAAGTTTGCCACGCCCACTTAAACGCCCACAAACCGCGAAAACCTGTGACGCCCACAATTTGCATGCTAGATAAAAAATAAATAAAAACTGAAATGTATTGTGTCGTCAATACTATCGATTGATCCAAAATAAATTGCTACGCCACTCCAACGCCATAACGCTTAAATCTGTCTACGCTGTAGGTGGCGCATTTTAATCTCGCTTTGCTGCTTGCATATCTCCATTTCCTTTGAGTAACGGTATCTGATATCGATATGCTTCTTCTTTTTATTTATAACCATATGCACAGGGCAAAAACATATGGTTTGTTAATAAACATTCATTGGATGTTTTTTTTCGGATGGGAAAAGGCATTACCCTCAATTTACTACTTTATTTGTATGATTATTTCGTTAATGCCTGCCTAGTTAAGGAAAACACTAGAAATCAATCGGAAATAACGACCTACACAACTAAAGTAACAGGTATAATATCAACTATTAAATTATTAAATATCCAGAAAAATAGTTAAAACCAATAAATTCTACTTCATCATTTCAATTGGTATTTATTTAATGCATATATTTTGAGTTTTATAAACATACATAAATTTAGTTTTCCCCCAATAAGATCAAGCGTGTACAACAATATCTTCTGTTAAAATACTTTTATAAAAGATAATTTATTTTCCTGATGTTACAGTGCAAATCTTTAAAAGTATATCAACCATCTTAGAGGAGAATGATGGGGGTAAGGGTCAATAGTAACTGGGGGAATTCCTGTAGGCGGTAAATGGATGATGACTTTATGAGTCTCGTTTCCTAATCCTTGAGGATTTCGTTGACGGCGTTGACGACGTGGCGGGCAGAGATGCCGAACATGTCGATGAGGACGGTAGGAGGTCCCGAGCGTGGCACGGTGGGCACGAACAAGTGCTTGACCACAAAGTTGCGCTCGCCAGCCAGGGCGCTCAGCACAGCCTCACCCAGACCACCTTGCCTGAAGAGGAAAAAGAAAATAATCCAGTTAGCAAAGAAGTATCCTCTAAAGAGTATAAATAAAACTCACTGGTAGTGATCCTCAACAACGACCACACGTCCTCCGCACTGCTTGCCGTGCTCAATGATCAGCTCGGCATCCAAGGGCTTAACGGTGAAGGGATCGATCACACGGACGGTGATGCACTTCTTCTCCAGCTGATCGGCGGCAGCCAGGCACTCGTACAAAGTGATACCGGCTCCGATCAGGAGACCTCGTCGGAGCTCTTCTGGCGCACAACCTTGCCCTTGCCGATGGCGAAGGGTTCCTCGTTGTCGTAGATCACGCAGGTGTTGGGACGCGACGTCCGGATGAAGCAGACGCCCTTGGTGTTGGCGGCCAGTTCCACGGCACGCTCCGTGCTCACAGCGTCCGAGGGATAGAAGATGGTGCTGCCCGGAATGGTACGGAACATGGCAACGTCCTCCAGACCCATCTGGGAGGGGCCATCCTCACCGATGCTGCAGCCGCAGTGGGAGCCCACGAAGTTCACGTTGGTCTGCGAGATGGCGCCCATGCGGATCTGATCGAAGGCACGGGTGAAGAAGGTAGCAAAGGTAGACACAAAGGCCACGGTGCGGTTACGGCAGGCGGCTCCAACGGCTACGCCCACCAGATTCTGCTCAGCGATGAAGCACTCGATGTAGCGCTCCGGGTCGAGGTTCTTCAGCTTGTCGGAGAAAGTGGAGTTCTTGGTGTCGCCATCCAGGGCAACCACGCGCACGTTGTTCTGTCCGATCTTGGCCAGAGCCGTGCCGTAGGCCAGACGAGTGGCAATGGAGTCACCCAGCTTGTAGGCTGGCGGCGTGTTCAGCTTAATATTGCTGATGTCCACCACAGGAGCGGCGCCCGTCTTGGACACCGGCTTGGGGGCCAGCTTGACGTTCTTGTTGACAATCAGACCCTCCAGATGCTTGACCACTTCGGCGGCCTTGTCGCCCAGCGGCTTGCCGTGCCAGTTGTCCAGATCCTCAATGTTGGGGAAGTCCTTGCCCTTGAAGGTCTTGGCGATGATGGCGGTGGGCTTGCTTTTGGTGATGGCAGCGCAATGGAAGGCCTTGGTCAGCTCCTCGACATCGTGTCCATCGACGACCACGGCATTGAACCGAAGGCCTCCAGACGATCGCGGTACACATCGAGTTTGTGCTGCAGGGAGGTGGCCTCCGACTGACCAGACGGTTCACATCGAAGATCACGCACAGGTTGTCCAGTTTGTAGTGGCCGGCAAAGTGTAGCGACTCCCAGATGGATCCCTCAGCGGATTCGCCATCGCCCACGACGACGTAGGTGCGGTAGTCAGCCTTGTCGAAGTTCTTGCCCACATAGGCCATTCCGGCGCCGACGGCGACTCCCTGTCCCAGGGATCCGGTACCCACATCGATGAAGTTCAGACGGGGCGTGGGGTGACCCTCAAGATCGCTGTCGATCTTGCGCAGGTTGTTCAGATCCTCGATGGGGAAGAGGCCAGCCTCAGCCCAAGCGGCGTAAAGAATGGGAGCAGCATGTCCCTTGGACAGGATGAAGCGATCGCTGGAGGGATCACGGGGGTGCTTCAAGTTCAGACGCAACTGCTGGAAGAACAGCACGGACATGATCTCGGCGATCGAGGCACATGATGTGGGATGGCTATAAAGAAAAATAAAGAAAATGTTAGATTGTAGAACAGACTTTGTGTATTTTATTGAGGTTGAGGCAGGTGTTTATTGAACCGGAGCGAAGTCGACCTTCGCTATAAAGACCGAGGTTAAAAGGAAAGTATGACTAAAAAATGTATAAAATCTGAAAGCTTTATAGCTTTAACTTCTTGTTATATGTTAGAAAAATTAACTGAATCTATTTTGTTAATATTTGTAAAAGCTTTGATGATTAACTGATAAATATCTCGAATAAGCCGAATGTTTAAATTTCTGTAAAGTGTCAATATCAACAGTATCCAATTTCAAAGTATAATAAATAAATAGGATTATCTCCATTTTGCAATACTCTGAGTTCCCATGCTATCGTGTTCCGACAAATAAGATAAAATCCAAATGAGTCGGTTGCGAATTGCAATCTGGCACAACTCCAACCGCATAAACAAGCAACCCTAGACAAAAAGGGGGGCTCGTCTTACCCCCAGACATATAAATAAACCATATCACGTAAACAACATGACATATGGTGTGATTTTCCTGTATGTACAAGTGATAGAATACATTCATTCCAATTCCTCACCGGTTTCAAGACCTTGAACCTCCCTGATCCCCAAAAAAACCCAAAACAATGGCCTTTAAAACTAAGATTCTAGGGTGGGTTTCACGATGGGGTTGCATGCTGATCTGCGTGGACGCACGTGTTTCTAGATAGTTCCCAAGTGCGTCCCCACTTCCTCCAGCCATATCAAGAACTAATGAAGGTGATACGGAGTGTCAGAAATGACCCGGCCGCCTATTTTATCAATTTTCAGTGATTTTCGATTATCATGCGGGAAACACACTTGAGCTGGTCACCTCTAATCGGTCATCGGTTGCCAGTGAGTAACCAATCCCGGCTTATCTCGCCGGCAGAGGTCACATTTAGAGCAAATAGAGCAGATCTTATCTGAACCGTTCCAAAAAAAAAACGCGGAAAACTAATGGAGGCGATAAAAGTGTTTTCCTTATCAGCATACTCATTTTTTATTTACTGTTGCAGTAATAATTTGGTCGCGTCTGTCCGAGATATAATTACATTGAAAGCTATGAGGTCGTAAATCTCGAGTGCAGGGGATCATTCCATTAATATTCCTATCCCTTTCGTTCCCGTCACAAGCTGTGCTTTCCAACACTTTATATATATACTTTCATATATCAAATGCCGCTCTCTGTATTTTTGTATGTCACGCCATGTGTAGGTACATATGTATGTATGTGGGTATTAGCGGCGTCGGCTTTTTGAAAGCCACGCACAAAAACAAAACAGAATTTAAAAGCAGTAACAGAAAAAGCTTAATTTTTCAAGGTTGTCGAAGGTCAAAATAATATTAGCCCAGTAATTAAGGTGAATGTGGCTTATCAGTGAGTACGCAAACAGGGCGACAAAATTCGCAAATTCACTAAAGTCACAGGAAAACACGTGGCTTGGCAACGGAAAGTCAGGGGTGGCTAAGGGGGGTGATTAAAATAAAACCGGTCTTTATAAATTTCTTTTATGTGAAAGTGGAGAGTTATATAACTTAATTTAAATTTCGCAAAACAAACAGCTAGCCCCCTTTGAAAGCCTTTCATACAACCGCCCCTGGAATAGAGGGGTCACCTTTGAAGCAACAAGTGCAAGGTGCACAACTTTTGAAATTCGCAGCTCACAAATATATGCACACTTTGATTTGCTAATAAGTTTCCATTTTTTCGTTAGCTTACCCCGATTTGGAGGCCTGGGTGGCGTTGATGGAGTGAATACGCAGCTTCTGGGCCAGATCTTTCAAATCCTGGACGGTTTTGGCTTCGGGCTTGTGGTACGACATCTTGCGGATATTGGTGTGAATTGGATCCGTACGAATGCGGTTTTTGATAGTAGGTTGCACAACAACGACTCTTGAGAGTTTCGGATTCGTTAGCCAAAGGGTGACGCCTCTATGTTTGCAAAAGACAGACAAGAGTATCGACGTGGTGGTGGAGCTGGAATCGAAGTTGTCAACGGACCGCTGCAGCCGGCTTCTGGGAACGAACTACTCTCGTCGCCGGCGCCGCGGTCTCTTTTACGCTGGTGGGGCTCAATCTTGGGAGCGAACTCGCACTCGCAAAGTCACCGCTAGCTGGAGTCCAATGCTCTGCTCACGCTTCACTCGTCGGGGCTGGAACGAGATGGATATATATAGACATCAGTTCGGGTCGCACCCTCTAGTCTGGGCACAGTTGCGGGTAAGAAAAGATAGATTTTAAGTTTTTTTGGTAATATTTTCAAAAAAAAAGGTAGAAAATACAGCTTTAAGCGAGTAATGTAATATGCGACAACGTAACAAACAAATGTGAGGCAAATGATATTATATTGTGACCATTATCTTAAATGTGAAACCATTCTTGTCATAGTTTTTTTAGTTCACTACAAATTATATTTATAATATAAAATAATTTTTAAATTTAAAATACAACTATTGAAATAGCTCTTTTATAACAAGACCTATTTTTTGAGCGCAATTGTATGTCATGCAGCAGTTTAACAAGAGCACGACTCTCTTTTCGTTACTTTCCCCTCTCTCTCGTGAACAAAAGGCGAATTTGCCGCCAACGAATTCAACCTTCGATAGCTCAGTTGGTAGAGCGGTGGACTGTAGTTGGAAAAACACGCAATAGAAATCCATAGGTCGCTGGTTCAAATCCGGCTCGAAGGATCGGAAGATGTATTTTTTTTAGACTTTTTTATTTTATTAATTTTTTGACTGCAATAAACTGATAAAAAGTTTTTAAACCGCGAAAATTTGAATGAAATGTAATAAAAACAAATTATAAAACTAACTCAAAATGATATCAAAACTAGCGTAAATTTACGAAATCCAACCTTTTTAATCATGACATTACAAATGTCGTGCAAGCCGGTTTGACTGGGAAATATTCAATCCAACATAAAAACAAAGTTGACCATTTCATTTGATAATTAAACAAAATGAGCAAACAGAAATTAAACTTCTCGTTTGTGCGCATGCACAAAACTCACATTGGCCGCCCGTAATTTCAACCTTCGATAGCTCAGTTGGTAGAGCGGTGGACTGTAGTTGGTACAAAATGCAATAGAAATCCATAGGTCGCTGGTTCAAATCCGGCTCGAAGGATTTTTTGCTTTATTTTTTATTGTTTTAGTTTTTTTTTAGAGATTGCAATTTTTTAAATCCAACAAAAATAATTTAAAACAGAAAATAGACTAGTCTTTTATAACGACTCCGTCTGGCGATTGTTTTCTAAAAACCACCAATAATCAAATGAAAAATACGAACGAAGAGATGGTCATAAAATGACCGTGGCCCCAATAGATGGAATTAACAGTCTGAATAATAAATTAAGTTGATTATTTACCAAACAAAGTCTACCGAACGGTCGCGATTATCCGGATACCCGGTGAAAAACATGCACCCCAGCACACCCCCTTCGATAGCTCAGTTGGTAGAGCGGTGGACTGTAGTTGGAAGACATGCAATAGATATCCATAGGTCGCTGGTTCAAATCCGGCTCGAAGGATTTTTTTTTTTTTTTTTCGTTTTCACATTTCGGTGATAATAACAAGTAGAAGTTATAGTACAAGAAATTCGTAAAATGTCTTGGTGCCAAAAGTTTACATCTGTTTCTTTACATTACCTTTTTCGCTTATGAAGAATGCCGCCTCCCAGTATAATTCGTTTTTATGTATAACAAGAAATTTAAATGCCTAATTCGAAACTTATTCCAAATATTTTAAGAGATACTTTGAAATGTACATTTTTTGGACTGAAACCTAAAGCCCTACTTGATAATTTTTCCTTTTCTTTTCGATGAACCAAAACTCTCTTTTTCTACCGGTATGATATCAAGCTTCCCAGTTACTTATTAATTACAATTTTTATACATATATAAATTAAGTAATAGATTACAGATTTTATTTAATAATTTAGCGTCTTCTTTTATTTATTTATGCGTACATGTCGATATATTTTTGTCACAAATACAAATAATTATGCTGATCCAATAGTTAAAACGGACTTAGACTATCAACTCTCGTTTCCCGTCTTAAAGATTCAACCAATGCATAAATTAGTTAGCAAAATAGTCAACGTTAACAATAGTTACTTTTAAATATACATTTGTTGCACTCAGATACCGACCGTCTCAATTCCAACTCGGTGCAACGTTTTCTACTTTAAATACGAATTTATAAAAATAGGCATTATGTTTGTATTTATGTACTTATGTTTGCTAATCGGTAATTAGGTCTAAACAACATTATGTTTTTGTGCACACATTTCGTCCAAGTACATTGAAAGCTGCTGCGAGTGCACGATTTGTTAGAGTTGGCAGCACATTGATCAGCTCAGCTAAATCGTTACTTTTATTTATAGTATTGTACAAGCGGGTTCCAAATAAATTACAAAATAATTGCATCAACAAAATAAAACAAATGCTCACAAGGGATGTACGAAAAATAGTTAAATCGTTTTACGACGTTAGCAAAATAAATTACAATCGAAAAAATGAAATATCACTAGCTAAAAAGCATTGAAGAGTGTACGAAAAACGGTAATAAATTATAATACAAAATCGATGAGTGGTCGTTGATTGCTTAGACTCAGTCCAGGGCGATGCCCTGTATCCAGGCGCTCAGGTCGCTGCCTTCCGACTCCATGATGATCTCGTCTGGCTCCTCGCTGGCCAGCAAATGCTGCGCTGCCGTCCGTCCGCTTAGATAGGCGCCGTGTACAGTAGAGTAGAAACTGGAATGGGTGTGCTCTCCGGCAAAGACTATGGCGGGCTAATGAAATACAATAAAATTAGTTTAGATTTACAAAATTAGACGCTTCTAGAAACAACCTTCATGGCCTGAGGCGTGGCGTATAGGGGCTGGGCGAGGTTTTCGATGTCCTCCTGAGTGGCCCCTACGGGTATCGAGGTGTAGGCCCCGCCGGTAAAGTCCTGCGACTTCCAACTAGTGCTGCAAAAGGAATTTGGGTTAATATAAACACATCAGACTAAATAATTTTCTTTTCCTTACCACACACATCGCTTTGGTTTGGGCACATAGGGATCCTGTAGAAAATTTCTCAGTATTTCCGTGCACTTTTCCGCCACCGCCTCGTGGGGCAGTGTCTCCATGAACTCCGCCTCTCGACCCGAAACCCAGCCCAGCAGCAGTGTATCCGTCATCTTGGCAAACGAGTATATTTCTTGAACCAATTCTTGCTCAGATACGCTTCGCTGGCCACTCCTCCTCGGTGCTGTTCATATCCCGCTTATCGTCATCCCAAAGCAGCATAATCTCTGATATATCGGCACTAAGGAATGGCCGTTCGTACTCCAAGAAGATCTTGTCAACGGTGCCGAACATGAGATTCTCGATGGACTCCTGTTTAACTGCGGCAGCACAGGATCGAAGAGAGTTCGATGGTTGCTTTTCAGCACGCCCAGCGGTATGGTGCATATCACATGGGCGGCATGAAACACTCGACCGTCCTCGCAATCTACGCGCACATGTCCTGCAGGAGAATCACAATTGCCGCTGGAGTTAGACTCCACGGAGCCGCCACGAAGTCCCCCCGTGGGCACTTCCGTCACTGTTCGCTCCGAGTCGTCCGAGTGCTCGTCCTCTGAGTTCTCATCGACCGTCTCCAGTCCGGTAAATGTCTTTTTTCGCTTCCAGTGAATTTTCTTCACTGGACATTTGGTCAGATGGACTGCTTGGGTATCTGGGCACCCAGCGGTCGCAGGATAGAGCTGTAACCAGACGGCAGCACTATGTTGCCACCCTGTAGCTCCGTGTAGCTGCCTAAAAGGGAGAATACATTTATATTTTAATTTGCATATGTTTTTCAATATTTCAAGCACCCACCTAGTTCGAGGAGATCCACCTCGTTCATGTTATTGCATCCCGTAATGCAGGTCTCCCGCTTCAGCAGGCAGTTGAAGATGGACTGCTTCAGGCGCTTCTCCTTAGGATCCTGCACCCCCTCAGGTAGATCTCGATCTCGTAGTTGATGTGCTCACCGACGCTGTGAATATCCGGTGGCGGGCTGTACTGACACAGGAAATACTCATCGCAGCGCCTCAAAAACAGACGTACGCCTCGTAGATTCCTGCAGTATGCTGAACGGCACTGGTGGCCATCCTCCGTAGTGGCCACCACCTTGTGCGGTTTTGGTACGTTTACCACGCTGACTAGACCATGCTGCACGGCCAACTCGAAGATGGGGTTGCCCAGGACGCCGTGTATCCAGTTGGCGCCCAGTTCAATCTGCGGAATAAAAGTGAGATAAATAAGAGTGTTCCAATGGTAAATAGTATTTCTAGGACTAGTGACTGACTAAAGCTTTTGTTTAAAAATAGATAAATGCTTTTAGCTTGCCGGTGATAAACAGATAAGAACTGACCTAGATCATTTTATTTAGGGGGCGTAAAAAGTGAATTTAAAATGCAAAAATAATCAGTGCTGAAAGTGGAAAGTATTTGTAATAATCATTTGAATAATCAGCTTAGACCATTAACAAAATACTAACTAAAATATTTAAAGTCATGCTTGCAATACCATACTTTATGAGATAAAATAATGGAATATTGTGAAATACATGAAAAAGCAAACCAACTGATAAGGAGACTATTCACTTTATTATCGTGAATGAACTTCAAAAATATTTTATATATTAAGGACCTTTACCTATCCTTGTAAATATGTATACTGCTGGTTTATTCAGCCCTATACATAAGACTACGTGATCGTGGGCCCGCAAATCCGTGAGTTTATTAGGGCATTGCTCTGGATACGTCATCATTGGCTTAATTCAGAAAAACCCTATCTTATCTAGCCAAAACGTTGCCAAAGAAAGTTGTATAACAAATTCCTTGATAAGGCACCGCCAGACCGGTCAAAACTATGCAAATAAACAAAAGAAAATCATTGGCATGTGGGGATTTTAAATATCTAAAACCACATTGGGTGCAATTAAATAAATTAATGAGCCCCAAGGGGCCATGTAACAAACAATAGCTAACATAGGCAACTGAGGAACAGAACAGGAATATTTATAAAAATAGCACCGATGAAAAGCGAGAACAGCTGACCGACTGCGCAGTGCTTGGAAAAATCTATAATCAACTGCTGGGGCAAAGAATCTGTTACAACATGCTTAAGTTTTTCCCGAATCGGGAGTTGTTTCATCCTATCCTATGGTTCGATTGGGTTTGTTTTGGTTCTTGGTGCTTGGGGGTTATATAACATGGCTACCTTCTGATTATTGGTGAGCGGTATGGACACTATACGTCCGCCCACCCGGCCCCGTGCCTCCAGAATGATGAAGTCCTCGCAGCCGTTTTGTAGAAGGTGATTGGCGGCCGACAGTCCCGCCATTCCGGCTCCGATGATCACGATCTTTACGTTGGTATTGCTTCCCGAAGTTTGGGACTGATCCCCAGCGGCTCCAGCAGCCCCTATGTTGACCATTCCCTCCTCCGTGGGCGAGGGAGCGGGTGTTACGGGCTCCTCCTTGTCGCCCATTGCTACACTTTGGTTCCGCTGTACATATGCGATTTGGTTGTATTCCCCCGGTTAGTTATTTGTTTTTCTAGTGCCTTTAACGCCTCATTTCACTTTTTCAGCACTTTTCTTTCGCCTGGCGAGTCGCGCGACTGTTTTGACGTTTATTTGACAGCAGCTTTTGCGGTTGGGGGAGGTAACAGCCAACAGCTGTTCGAATGGGCACTAATATCTGTTTTTCGCTACACTCTTTGTTTTATAAGAGTATTACTTCATGTTTACCTATTTAATAGTAATATGTATCAATTTCTTTAATTTTTATTGAAAGTTTTGGTGAAAACTGGACCAACAGCTGTTGTTATGGCGTTGCCAGACACATTAAAGAAAGGTAAACAAGGCTTTGGCCTTTACAACACTAGAAAATATCAAATTTACAAAAATTTGATTTCTAAATACATTGTTTTTAAACTGCTTGTTGAAAGTGAAATGAAAACATTCCAACTTATAACAATGCTATTAATCCTTTAAAAATGTAGATTTCATTTACATATATCAAACAAAATTAAAATTTAGCAATTAAACTACCTGAAATCATTCTTTTATTCACAGCCTAAAAATATAAGAGCATAAATCCAAATAAAACAAATAGAATTAACATTTAAGACCGATAAATATAACCACTTGTTATCGACCACCTGCCAGCGCTAACAGAGCTGCCAGACAGTTCCAGCGACCTGTGTACATAAATTGCTTGCCTGGCTGATAAAAACACAAGTTTTTTAAAGCGAATAATTGCCTGAGATTAGTGAGGCAATTAATAAATCCCGATTGACGAACAAGCTATGTGATCAGCAAACGATTTAAAACTATAAAACACCCGCAAGATGGCCGACGCCTACTGCCTGACGAACTTTATTGATTTTTCGCTGTCGCTGTCGCTGCCGCTGAAACACCACAATCGCATCAAGGTGAGCAATCCAGCTGAAGCGAATCTCACCTGCAATTTGATAGCCACCCACTCACTGATGAATCTCATCCCTTTCTCCTCCCCCTCCTTAGTACACCTGCTTCGACATCTCCGACAGCTATATCATCTTCGGGGCCTCCTCCGGATCGCTGTACCTGTTCAATCGGAACGGCAAGTTCCTGCTCTTGATACCCAACAAACATGGAGCCATCACCAGTCTCAGCATTTCGGCCAACAGCAAATATGTGGCTTTTGCAACGCAACGATCGCTCATCTGCGTGTACGCCGTCAATTTGTCCGCCCAGGCGACGCCGCAGGTGATCTTTACGCACCTGGACCAATCCGTGCAGGTGAGCTGCATCCACTGGACGCAGGACGAGAAGCAGTTCTACTATGGTGACTCCCGCGGACAGGTCAGCCTCGTCCTGCTCTCCTCGTTCATCGGGCACAGCCTGCTGCTCAACATGACCGTGCACCCGCTGCTCTACCTGGACTCCCCCATCGTCCAGATCGACGACTTTGAGTCCCTGCTTCTGGTGTCCAACTGCACAAAGTGCATTCTTTGCAATACGGAGTACGAGGAGTATAAGCAGGTTGGTCCTGGATACAATAATCACTTAGCACTAATTATTTAAGAGGAAATAGGAAGCCCCAAATTATTCAGCGCATTTATGCTCCATCGTTTAGTTTGATTTTTCCTTATATTTGAATAAGCTTTACAACTTTTGTCAAGTCCTCAACATACCTCGAATTCTTAAAATAATAATATTTTTAACACCTGGAAAACCCTCAGATTTGCTCTACGAGTTACTTGATAAGCTACATGAGCTTAGAGAAGGGGACTCACAATATAAACTAAAATCGTATGATCTATATGCTTGATGATATGATATGAGGTGATTCATTTCAAGTGCAACAACGTAGTGATCTTATGTAAGCGTAATTCCTAGAAGTCATTGAGTTACTGGGCTGTGTTTTGTGCAATATATATATTATTGATTTTGCAGCTTCTATGTTAACCCATAGATAACATTAATCACTCTTTATAATTTTCTCTTTCAGATAGGGAATCGCCCGCGTGACGGCGCCTTTGGAGCCTGCTTCTTTGTCTCGCCGCAGGAGTCTTTGCAGCCATCTCGCATCTACTGCGCCCGACCAGGCAGTCGCGTCTGGGAGGTGGACTTTGAGGGCGAGGTGATACAGACGCACCAATTCAAGGCCGCCCTGGCCACCGCACCTGCGAGGATTCAGCGACCTGGCAGCGGAGCAGACGAACTGGACGCCAATGCCGAGCTGCTGGACTATCAGCCGCAGACCCTGCAGTTTGCCAAGGTCCAAAGGCTGAACGAGGACTTTCTGTTGGCTTTCACAGAGCTGGGATGTATGTGTTTGATGTGCGACGATCGGCGGTTGTGCTGTGGTGCAATCAGTTCGAAAGGATAGCCGACTGCCGCTCCTCTGGATCGGAGATCTTCGTATTCACCCAATCTGGTGCACTTTATAGTGTCCAGCTGCAGACGCTGCAGTCGCACGCCGTTTCCCTCATACAGCAGTCCAAGTTGCTGCCCTGCGCCAATCTACTTCGCCAGCATGTGCGGTACTTTGCGGACAAGGCTCGCGAGGATTACGAGCTGAAGCAGCTGAATCCTCTGAAGCAACTGCTCATCGAGCGACAGGAGTACGAGCTGCTGAATGATATATCCGTGATTTTCGATGCCATAACACAGTGCACGGGCAGTGCTTTGGACACGCAAGTTCGGGAGGAAGTTCAGCCACCACTGAGCGCAGTATAAGTGGCGGAAGCTCAGCGAAAGCGCCACAAAAGGAGTGTACGTTCTGGAGAACGCGTTCTGCGACAACCTGAAACAGCCGCTCAAGTCGGGACACTTCAAAGATGCCCTGCTGACGGTAACTGGTAAATTCGGCAAGAACATCATAAGTACAAGTTCAATATTTTCGCCGAAGAACAGCAGCAGCTGGTCAGAGAACTAATCCCGGCCAGCGAGCGATCTCTGCCGTTCAAGGACATCAAGGCGCGCTACGAATCCGGAGGCGAGGAGGAGGAGATTGTTAGCCGCTGCAAAAAACCTGTTCCCCAGGCTCCCGCATCAGCCCGAGGAGAAGACCCTCTACAATCTCTACCTGATCGCCAAGAGCGCCAAATTCAGCCGGACGCAGTGCGTCGATCGATACCGAGGGGTGTTTGATGAGTATGCCGCGGGGGAGCTTGTGAATCTACTCGAGAAATTGGCCCAGGTTATGGTGGAGCATGGTGATACGCCGGATGAAGCGCAACGCAACTGCTATGAGATGTACTTTGATTACCTGGATCCGGAGCTGATCTGGGAGGTGGACGATGCCACGCGTGATCACATAGCCGCGGGATTTGTGCTGCTAAATGCGCCCGAAAATGCGGAGATTGTAAAGTGTGAGCATTGCTCGTTCCCGCTGCGCTTTGATACCTCCTGTCAGTACCATGAACTTGGAGCCGTGCTTCTGCGATATTTCTGGTCCCGCGGCGAGCAGGTCAAGTGCTTTGATGTGGTGCAGTGTGTTCCGGCTCTATTGGATGTCCTAGCTAAATTCTACCTAGCCGAACAGAACCTCACCAAGGTGGTGGCCATCGTTCTCAACTACGGACTGCCGGAACTTCTGGCAGATGTTGGCAAGCAACTGAGCGTTGGCGCCTGGGGTCGCTGCTTTGAGCAGTTCGTAGAACTCCAACGCGGAAAGCTGATTTGCGCAAATTGTGAGTGCATTTCGGGCGTGGAACAGGAGCAACTAGGACGGCACTTCTTCTACAACTGGAACTGCTTTCTCAACATCGCACTGGACCACATGGCCGCCGGGGATACGCTGGCGCTGATCTTCAAATGGAGCTCGTACATTCCAAACGACGCCATCGACCGGGAGTTCTACTCCCGCTGCCTGCTCAAGGGCTAGAAGATCGGGCATTATTATATATATACGATACTATATAGCCATATTTATTGTTCCACTATCTAATCTCAAGCTAAGGCCAATACCAAAAGCATTTATTCTATATAAACATGTACACCCACGATATGTATATTCTAAATACGAGAGTGCATGAATATATTCGAGAGTTCGAGAATTCAAAAAGTTTTTGATTTTATTTATGTAACTTAGGGGGAAAAGTATCAAAAAACATATATTTAAAATCCCAAATCAGTGCCAATTTCCTTGCCTTTTCCTTCAAACTGAGAAATGGGGAGAGCGACTGACGCTTTGTAGAACAACTACCCCTAAACATAAACACAACAATTTTTGGCCTAATTGTTACAAAATTTCAACTGCCCAGCCTCAGTTCTCTTCCATTAAAAAATAATCAATAGCCCAAAAGAGATCGACGAAATTCAACTTGAACTCGATAGTCAAAGACCGCGAAGTTGGCGCAGCGATCTGGCAACGCCCGAGCCCGTGTCTCCGCTATCCCAACGAAGTTGCAAACCCAGGATCGAGTCTCTGCTATCCCTAGTGCGTAAGCCGATAATTCATCGATACAACCGTTTTAACAACCCTAATTTTTAGACACGCGTCTGAAAGCGGAAAAAAACGTGAACTCGTCGGAAAAGCAGCATTTTCCAAGCCCATAGCGCTTGTAATTGTAATTGTTGGCACAAGCAGGCCAGCCAAATCCGATACGGAAACGTCTCAGTTTCAAGCAGTACATAGGGAATTGTGTGCGAGGAACAAAAGAACCGAAAAAATTCAAGTACAGACCCCTGAAATTTCACACGAGAACGCAGTAGCTTGTGGAACGTAAGAAGTTTTGTCGGAAAAACTAAGGAAAAACGTATAGACACAAAGTGCAACACCAACACAACGATCGTATACATTTTTTTGTCGCAAATTGCAAGTGTGCACCCTAAAAAAAAACCGAAGCGTAACCATTGCAAAATTTTCCTAAACGGAAAGCAAGAAAAAAAAAGCAACTGATTGGAGGATAATATGAGTAATGCTATTAACCAAAATGGCACAGGTCTAGAGCAGCAAGTAAGTAGAGTTTTTAACTGGGTGAAAATACCATCTTCTATATAAGAAAAGTACATATATGCATGCATACATATGTACATGCACACACGGTGGGTGAGTGAGTAATTGCGTGCGTGTGTGTGAGTGATGCTCATGCGGCTATTGGGGAAAAAGTTCGGCTAGAAATTTATTGATTTCATAACACACTAATGTCTCTATCGCTCTTTTACAACGATGAATCGTGTCCGTGGCGATTGTGTGCGTGCATGTGTGCGTCTGGGCTCGTCTTCGTCATTCCAATTTGTAATTTCTTTTGTACAATTTTTGCTCGCTTGCCTCCAATTTGACTTGTATATTATATACATATGAAAGTTTCCACTCGGCCTCCCGTGTCTGTGTGCGTGTGCGAGCAGTGCCGCTGTTCTAAGGCTGACCGTGTGTGTGTGTGTGTCATACCTCGCGCTCTCTCGCTCCCGCACACATGTGAAAGCTGTTGTAAACAGGGTTGTCAGGGGTTGGCGATCTGCTGATTAATTTCAAGGGTGATTTGGCAAAAAACAAAACAGTCTAATCTACACCAATTTCACAAGTGGTTGTTTGTCCTTAAAAGTAAGTCCCTTGATAAAAGATATTTTATAAAACTATAGAAGTGTATCTTGTATTTAATACGATTCAACTAAAATATAAATGTGATGCAATTTTATTAAAATTAAAGAAATAGGGTTTGTGTTCTATGTTAACCCTAAAGTTAATTTAACTTCCTAATTACTAAATCTAATACTAGTGACAATTTAAATGAAGTATTCCTATATTTAGTTAATGCAATCTTAATGCTTGCCTCAGCCTTGTTATTCATTATTACAATCAAATTAAATATCGGGGGTTTCCCCGCAATTAGACAATAAATTACCATTAAAGTCAGTCTGGGGGCAATGATCTAGGCGTTTGTTGACTCGCCATAAAAATATTATATTATAGGTACATTCATCTTTATGAAGTTTTGTCTGTTATTCCGATTTGTTTTTAGCTTTCTTTTACAAAGAATACAAGTAATAAAATTAGTTTGAATGTACATTTACCGCATAATTTGTCATGTTGAAAATTCGATGGCGGTAAATTTACTTAATTTTAATAAATACTTTATTAATTAATAATATATAATAATAATATTTTTGTGGAATGTTCTTCCAACGCGTTCCACATTGTTTTCATTTGGGTTCCACAACCGGGCTTAATGTTCTACCACTACGGCTGCGATTTATTTACTCATGTGTGGGTGGCCCGCTCACATGTTGTTTTTGTTGTGTTGCTAGGCGGTCGCTCTTTGTGTAATGGGCTGTCAGTGAGTGCGAGAGAGATGCTTACAGAGAGAGGCGAAAATGAAATTCAAAGCTTTAAACTAGTTGCGCCTCTCCATCTTTGTTGTATTCCAGAGATTTGCACGTATGTATATATACACGTTGGCCTGGAAAGAGGCAGCGGTAAATAGCACATGTTGCTAAGGGGGATCCGAGAAATTTTGGAAGTTCTGGAGTAGATTTCCCCTGGGAAGTGTTCCAACCATTGAACTTGAAAACTGGAACAGGTGGCGCCAAAATAAAATCAAAACAACTTATTTTGGTTATTAACCACAGAAATTTAATGTTAATCAGTAAAATCATATGTACTTTATTTTAATTTTGTTAACTTTTTATTGGCTTCAGCAGCGCACAGATTACTTTTAAAGCTTAGTTTTGGTGTGTGGGTTTATTCTTATCTCAAAATGCACTTTGTTCCATTTATTGGATTTTGCAAAAACAATGCAAGAACAAACTTAAAGCTGGTGATTCATCAATACCTATTAAATAGATTGTAAACCAAAGGGAATTTATATATATCATGGATTATAGAAACCACAAGATTTAAATGTAGCCGAGTGATAGATATTTTTTTTAAATAAGATTAAAAATAGGAATATAAATGATTATTTTTTTTTGACAAAAATATTATTTTTTGAAGCAGATCCTAAAAAAATTCTGTTGGCTCTCAATAAACGGGAGTAGGATCTTTAATGTTCCCATAAAACTTTACCTTTGTGGAGTTTCTAGTTACTAACGATTTCCTCTTTGTATCTTGCAGGTTGCTGGTCTGGACTTGAATGGCGGCTCTGCTGACTACAGCGGCCCCATAACAAGCAAGACTTCCACTAACTCGATCACCGGTGGTGTGTATGTGCCCCCGCACCTTCGTGGAGGTGGTGGCAACAACAACGCAGCGGACGCAGAGAGCCAGGGCCAAGGACAAGGCCAGGGCTTCGAGTCGAGATCCGGGAATTCGCGCCAGGAGAGCAGGGATCCGCAGCAGTCTCGCGGCGGAGGTGAATTCCGCAGGGGCGGCGGTGGTGGAGGTCGTGGCTTTAATCGCCAGAGCGGCGACTACGGAAGTTTTGGAAGCGGCGGCGGCGGCGGTGGACGACGTGGAGGAGGAGGTCGCTTCGAGGACAACTACAACGGTGAGTTCTAATAGGCTAAGATATAAGGAAATCGGAACTAAAATAGGTCATAAAATGATTGATTTCTGCAGATTAAGAGTAATTATTTTATATAAATGTATATCATGATAACAATGCAGAAGATAAGAATAGTGTACATACATATTTTTCGCTTTCAATTAGTGCCCTTTAAGTTACGTCGAATTTTTTACGTTCCTGTAATCCAAATAAAATCTATATTTCATTTTATACCAAGAACATTCATATAAAACTTTAAATATCGTGCAGGTGGTGAATTCGATTCGCGTCGCGGCGGTGACTGGAATCGCAGCGGCGGAGGCGGAGGAGGTCGCAACTTCGGACGTGGTCCTTCGTACCGCGGCGGTGGCGGTGGAAGCGGTAACGCCCTCGACGAGCAACCCGCCGAGGATGGCCAGGCACAGCCGCAGCAGCAGCAGCAGCCGCGCAACGATCGCTGGCAGGAGCCGGAGCGTCCGGCCGGTTTCGATGGCGGAGAGGGAGGTCAGCCCGGCGGCGGCGGCAACAGAAGCTACAGCAACCGCGGAGAGCGCGGAGGCGGCGGCGGCGGCGGCTACAACAGTCGCTGGAAGGAAGGCGGCGGCGGCAACGTCGACTACACAAAGCTGGGCGCCCGAGACGAGCGCCTGGAGGTGGAGCTGTTCGGCGTGGGCAATACGGGTATCAATTTTGACAAATACGAGGATATACCCGTGGAGGCGACGGGCCAGAATGTGCCCCCGAACATCACATCGTTCGATGATGTGCAGCTGACGGAGATTATCCGCAACAACGTGGCCCTAGCACGTTATGACAAACCGACACCGGTGCAGAAGCACGCCATTCCGATTATAATCAATGGCCGTGATCTGATGGCATGCGCCCAGACCGGATCCGGCAAGACGGCCGCCTTCTTGGTGCCGATTCTCAACCAGATGTACGAGCTCGGCCATGTGGCACCGCCGCAGAGCAACCGGCAGTATAGCCGGCGCAAGCAGTATCCGCTGGGTCTGGTGCTGGCACCGACCCGCGAGCTGGCCACCCAGATCTTCGAGGAGGCCAAGAAGTTCGCCTACCGCTCCCGGATGCGTCCGGCCGTGCTGTATGGCGGCAACAACACCAGCGAGCAAATGCGCGAGTTGGACCGCGGATGCCACCTGATTGTGGCTACTCCAGGTCGCCTGGAGGATATGATTACGCGCGGCAAGGTGGGACTGGAAAATATTCGGTTCCTTGTCCTGGACGAGGCTGATCGTATGTTGGACATGGGTTTCGAGCCTCAAATCCGTCGCATCGTCGAGCAGCTGAACATGCCGCCAACCGGGCAGCGCCAGACGCTTATGTTCTCGGCCACATTCCCCAAGCAGATCCAGGAGTTGGCCAGCGATTTCCTCAGCAACTACATCTTTTTGGCCGTGGGTCGTGTGGGCTCCACCTCCGAGAATATCACGCAGACGATCCTGTGGGTATATGAACCCGATAAGCGTTCATATCTCCTCGATCTGCTCTCGTCCATTCGAGACGGTCCTGAGTACACCAAAGAGAGCCTGACGCTGATCTTTGTGGAGACGAAGAAGGGTGCAGACTCGCTGGAGGAGTTCCTGTACCAATGCAACCATCCCGTGACCAGCATCCACGGTGATCGCACACAAAAGGAGCGCGAGGAGGCGCTGCGCTGCTTCCGCTCGGGCGACTGCCCGATCCTGGTGGCCACCGCTGTGGCCGCTCGTGGCCTGGACATTCCGCACGTGAAGCACGTTATCAACTTTGACCTGCCCTCGGATGTGGAGGAGTATGTCCATCGTATCGGACGTACCGGTCGCATGGGTAACCTCGGTGTGGCCACCTCATTCTTCAACGAGAAGAACCGCAACATTTGCTCCGATCTTTTGGAGCTGCTGATCGAGACCAAGCAGGAGATCCCCAGTTTCATGGAGGATATGAGCTCGGATCGCGGCCACAGCGGCGCCAAGAGGGCAGGACGAGGAGGCGGTGGACGGTACGGCGGTGGCTTCGGATCAAGGGATTACCGTCAGAGTTCTGGCGGCGGAGGCGGTGGCGGACGCAGTGGACCCCCACCCCGCAGCAGTGGCTCTGGATCGGGAGGCGGCGGAGGCAGCTATCGCAGCAACGGAAACTCGTACGGTAAGTTTGGTGAGTGTGGATTCATCCATCAGAAGTTATTATATTGGAGCGAAAGGTACTAAGCTATGGTTTTCCCCTTTAGGTGGCAACTCGGGAGGCGGTGGATACTATGGCGGCGGCGCCGGTGGTGGCTCCTATGGCGGCTCCTACGGCGGAAGTGCCGCACACTCGAGCAACGCACCCGACTGGTGGGGTCAATGAGCAAGGCCTCAGCTTCAGGCAAAGGTCCTGGGCCAGCAGCATCAGCAGTCGCATCGTAGCCACTTTCGCAACTAACCAAACGGAGATAAATACAAAGTCGATAACAACTATATATATATGTGCACACACGTATACTATATAGGAACAGCAAATGTGAAAGAGAAACTGTCTGTGCGCAGCGCAACACAAAACACGAAAATACAGAAAAGATACACAGATGCACCCTCCACCCTCGTTTAGCAATTTTCTCCTCTCTCTCACAACCTCAAAAACCAGGAGCAAGCATTAATAAGAAATTGTGCAAGTCCATCGCGAAAGTATATTACATTCATGTATAGCCAGCCCAAAATCCCAGGCCCCTTCCCATCCTCCCATCTTTATATTTTATGAAATCGATGCGCGTAGTTGAAGGAATATGCAAACATACATATTACAAATATGCTAAACAACCACAAATATTAAGAATATTTAAGCAACTGATACAATTTTGAATTTTTGTCCATAAGTTACACTTCTCACACATCATTTTTCTTGGAATTCTTAAAATACAAATATATATAGACATAAATACTGTCGATATCGGATCAAGACGATGAATGCGCAAATCCTTGAACTTCAATTGATGATTTTAAACGAAGAAAACGTAAAAATAGTAATGGTATATATATTAACAAATATATAAATCGAGATATAATGTACTATATGAAACAAGAAACCAACACAAACAAAAAGTAATTAAAAAACAAAGTTTGCTAAACTTAAAATTAATAATTTAGCAAATGAAAAAAGAGATCGCCTAGTTTTGTTTGATTTGAACTAAAGCATGGGTCTTGGATAAGTATGGATAAAATCGGTGATTTTAAGGTAACAGCAATGAAAGAAACACAGGTTTTTTGTTATTTTTATCATCAATTTTTAGAAATTTCAGAATTAAGATTTTTTAAAGATTTAATAAAAATCTATGATTCGACTATATGATTCGATTCTATGACTCGACTCCATAATTCGATTCTATGACTCGACTCCATAATTCGATTCTATGATTGTTTTTATATGACGTAATATGTTTTTGTTTTAAAAATCAATTATGAAATGTGGGAGTTCAGTAATACTCATGATTGGTATAATAAATGACATTTTCAGCGACATAAAACACGTGTCTATAGCATTTATTGGGTTTTTTCAGTCGTAGAACAAAAGTTTTTATATAGAGCTTCTGATATACCTCTAAAGTTCCAAGACAAAAGGATCATACAATCCACAAACAAGGAGACAAAATTTTCTTGTTGGAAAGTCCCCAAAAATCTTGTTTTTGGAACATGTTTTGAACAGAGCTTGCATTTAAACAAATGAGGTGTCATTCGACGCGTATTCTCAACATCGGTATAAAACTTGCGCATTATCCCCACCCCAAAAGCTCAAATTTTCTAAATTTTCACTTTATCGTTTTTTACTTAAACCAATTAAAATAATTCAAGACTAGGTAAGCATTCTAACTAGTTTTTGTATCACTCGTTTTGATTGGACCATCACAACAGTTTTTGACAGTAGTCGCCTTCGCACACTCTCCTGGTGCGATCGATCTGCAGCTACAGAACAAATTAAAAACTGAGAATCGTAGACTAGGTTAGTGACCCTTTACAAGCTTCTTAAACGAGAGCTTTGTCACCGGTGTTGTGCACATTTTAGCAATCAGCCTAATTGAAACTGCAAGCATAGGGGAGAAAACGTAAATGAAGGTGCAGTAAACAGCGTTGAAATTGTGACGATCGTGTGGCTGCGTACCCGCTCCCTAATTAGATTAGATTAGGCAAACTTGATTAGTTTGCCGATGTTTTCTGGACGATAAGGGAGCTTGTCGATCGTTGTTCGTCAGATAAAATTGCTTGCAGAGCAAAGCTCTAGCATTTTAAACATCGGGCTCTTGACAAGGGCACACCCCATTATATTATTTCGGAGAACTGTCGAACATTTTCGGTGCATTTCGCTTGTTTTGCGCATCTCAGCTGTGTCAAGTTCAGGCCCCCAACTCGTAACACAGCGAATATGCAGAAGCCACAACACGGTTCGTGCTGGATCTTTCTCCTCCTGGTATCTCTGATCGCCACTTTCATGCTTGCCTTCAGCTACTGGATTTTTGTGCCGCGCGAGGAGCCATTTTGGTCCATTGTGTCAGGAATCCCAGCGGTTCTGGGATCAAGTTCTCCTGCCGCCATCTGCTGTACCTGCAGAGCTGAAGCTCAGGCAAAGACCCCCGTTCGTTTACCAGATTATACATTGATAGAGTACAATATAGTGTTTTATGCTATGTAATCTTACGCTAGTTTAACAATAAATTACATGTACAAAAATCTGGTTCGAGAAGCTAGCAGGCATCACAAGTTGGTGGATTAGAATCAACGTCCGACTTTTGATTGAGGGCCGCATAGCCCACGGGGATCTCCTTCATCTCGGTCTGCAGGCAGAGAACTCGCCGCCTATGCACATTATCGTGCCTGTGATGACGTTGAGCAGCCACCAGGATGCGTTTGCGGGAAAGGAGCGGTTGTACCACCAGCAGATGAGCAAATGCAGGACGTGGAAGGTGCAACTACGGAAAAATTGGGATAGTGGTTAAATGTGGCAGATTAAAAATTAAAGTTTGAAATTGTATCTTATAAATTCATTAAAATCGTACGGGTAAGAAAGACATATTTTAGCTTTCATTAAAGCAATCTGAATAATAAAGCTAAATTAAATGGTGTTCAGAATCTAGTTTTGCGTCATTCCTGTTGGTAGTGGTAGTCAATACTTGACGTCCTAAATCAGCAACTGATAAGTCAAATCGTCATTTATTCCTCTTAAACTCCTAACAGTATTTGATGTATGCATCATAAGAATTCCTTGGAATCCTTTTGAGATACCCACCTGAAGTCCAGACAGAGCTTGGCTCGTCTTACGATGCACCACAGGGCCAGGGAGGCCAGGAAAGCATTTAAGACGAAGGCGCAGATCACCAGCCTGCCTCCCAAATCGTAGATGTGTATCTCCTGGAAGTGCAAATATATTAGAGTCAGTCGGGTACTAGGAATATTGTTAATAGGGCTGGACCCCAAATAGCATACATGGTACTCGAACAAGTGATCCAGACTGTAGTTATCCCCGGACAACTTGTTGGCCACGAAGACGAGCAGGCCGAGGGTGAAGTACACGCAGAACTGCATCGATACGATCTGTGCCGATAGCAGCGTGGGATCCCACTGGGTGTTGCGGAAGGTTCCGCCCTTCATGGTTGCCCAGGGTTTCCAAATCTGCGGTTAAAATCGAAAGTTTTCCCAAATTTCAGCTGGCCATAACAAACTGACTCAATCTTTAGTTATGACACTAGATGGCCAGCGATGGTTATCGATAAATGTGCGGCAGGGGCTGCGAGCGAAAGGGGTTTAATTTAATGCACCGAAAGAAAATGTCTTGCTCATAAAAATTGTAACACGTAATCAAGTACAGCCTCACATGAATTTTCTATCAAAATGATACGACTTTCTTTCTCCCAAATTGAATTTATTTTAGAAGTCTATTACAATCCATACATACATACTTTTTTACTTATTTTTTAACACTCCGCGAAACCTGTTAGTTCTCTGCTTAATCGGCCGCAATCGATAATCGGCGATAGTCGTCATGGATCAAGATCACTTGAAGAATGCGAGAAACGCAACGCGGAGAATTGTAAGTAAAGTACGACTTAAATAGCTTCCGATTTTGAATGTACTCCTCCCACAGGGTCGTCTCCGGTCGCTGGGAATCGTTACGGTTGGAGCTGCCGCCTTGGTTGCGGGCATTACGGCGTACAAGAAGCAAGACCAGGTGTTCCGCACTTTCGTTATGCCAGCACTGCGGCTTCTTCCGGCGGAAACCAGTCACCAACTGGCCGTGCTGGCCTGCAAGTACCGCCTGTGTCCGGTGTCCCAGTACCAGATGACCAGAATCTGCACACCCCGTTCTTTGGCCGGATGCTGAGCAATCCGATTGGAATTGCCGCGGGATTCGATAAGAACGCGGAGGCAGTGGACGGCCTGCAGGATCTGGGATTTGGCTTCATTGAGGTCGGCACTGTCACCCCAGCCGCCCAGGAGGGCAACCCAAGCCGCGGGTTTTCCGGCTGTCCGACGACAAGGCCATTATTAATCGGTACGGCTTTAACAGCGAGGGTCACCAGGCGGTGCTCCAAAGGCTGCGCCTGCTCCGGAGCAAGGAGAGCTTCAACGGCGTCGTGGGCGTCAATCTCGGCCGGAACAAGAGCACCATGAGCCCGATAGCGGATTACGTACAGGGAGTGCGGGTCTTCGGACCCGTGGCGGATTACCTGGTCATTAATGTGAGCAGTCCAAATACCAAGGGCCTGCGGGACATGCAGAGCAAGGAGAGGCTGCGGGAGCTTTTGGAGGCGGTCAACGAGACCAGATCCACCCTGGACAAGAACAAGAATGTGCCCATCCTCTTGAAACTCTCGCCCGATGTGTCCGAGGACGACATGAAGGACATCGTTTGGGTGATCAAGCGCAAGAAGAGTCGCGTGGATGGTCTGATTGTGTCCAACACCACGGTGTCGCGGGATCAGATCGGGTCCAGCAAGTTGGCCGAGGAAGCAGGCGGATTGAGTGGCCCACCACTCAAGGCCCGCTCCACGGAGATGATTGCCCAGATGTACCAGTTCACCGAAGGCAAGATACCCATTATTGGAGTCGGCGGCGTCGCCTCCGGCTATGATGCCTACGAGAAGATCGAGGCTGGGGCCTCCTACGTCCAGGTCTACACGGCTTTGGTGTACGAGGGACCCGCTCTCGTGGACGACATCAAGGCGGAGCTGTCGGCGCTAGTCACAAAGCTGGGTCACACCAATGTGGCGGAAGTGGTCGGCACCAACTCCAAGTTTTACCTGCCCAAGAAATGAAACGAAGATGTCGAGTCCTAAAGCAAATGCTCCATTCATTTAAGTACAAAACTAAACTGTTCCACCTCTCCTGCCCCTTGATCGGTATAACCAGTAAATCAATATAATTGTCATCTATTATGCTTGGGGACTTTCATTGGCGCGCTGTACGTTGAGCACTCTGCCCTCCAGGAAGTGGGTGTTCTGATTGCTGGCGCTGTTGAATGCATCCCGCTGGCTGAACACCACGAATCCGTAGTGCTTGGAAAGGCCCAGTTGCCGGTCGAAGACCACCTCCGCGTTGGCCACGTGCCCGTATTTCGAGAAGTAGGTCCGCAGCTCTTTGCTGCCGATCGTCCAGGGAAGGTTGCCCACGAACAATTTGTAGCTGCTTCGCGCGAATCCGCTGGACATGGTTATGGGGATTTGTATTTCTGTTTGAAGCGGTTACGGAATGGTGCAGGGTTGCACAGGTGGCGCAGGTTAATACTATAAGCGCTTCTATCGAATTTTTAATACAAATAATTTTTTTACGATAATTATATTTGAAAAGAAATGCTACATTTAATGAATTTTTACAAATAGGAAATATTTTAATTTTATTTATTTTGTTGTTTTAAAACTATTTTAATATAGTTTAAAAATAATTTTTAAACTCATTAAATATCCACCTCACAATTTACGTACCATGCAGGGCTGCCGGTATCGGTTTTGACTGCCTATCGATATTTGGTCTGCAGCCTTATCGACCGCTTTGCGGTGCACTATCGATAGGCCGCAAATAATCAATGTTTCATCTCTAGCTCCTTTAAGTTTTGCGTTATTTATGTAAATGTTTAGCGAAATTGCGAAAAAAAGTGCATATCAGTGCGCTCGATTGCTGAAAAAGTAGTTGCGTTGCGTACGGCGAAGAGCCCATCAAAGGCGGCCCAGTGGCCAAGCGATCGGAGGGCCAAAGGAAGTCCCAGTCGACGTGTTGTATTCGGGGCGCGGCGCCTGCAGAAAACGGACAAAACATCCTTAGGACAGCCACACAAAGGGACATCGATACTTTCAGCCACCGCACACAATGGCCGAGCGACCGAAGAATTTGTTCGCAAGTGAGTTACCCTTTTCGTTTCGGTAGTGGACCGCCCACGCAATTCACACATATGCAGACCAGGAGGTACACACACTAGCTGGGTGACGCATAGTTAGGGAATTGGGTGGCAGCGGTGATAAGCGGTGATTTCTATCAATGCATGAAGCCTGCTACAATCTTCGTTTTCCCCTTTCATTTTCCAGCCGGATCCAGTCGCGCCCGCAACCCCCCGGATCAGCTCAGCCTGAACAACCTCAGCATTCGCCATCCGCCCTCATCCACATCGTCCACCTCGTCAGGTTCCACCTCCTCGGGCTCAAGTTCCTCATCGCAGCACAACCATGTGACCCGCTGTTTTGGTGCCCAGCAGCCACAACCGGTTCCACCGGTGGTCAGCACTGTTGTGCCCGCAGTTCCGGCAGCTTCGAGCAGCAGCGCCGCCGATCGCCACCGGGAGCGGATTCGCCAGCAGGCCTGTGGCAAGCTGCAGTTTGGCGAGGGCCCCGCCAATACACACACTTTCACTTCGGATGATCTCGAGGATGAGGGCGAAATTGGGCGTGGAGCCTTTGGGGCGGTCAACAAGATGATCTTCAAGAAACTGGACAAGGTAATGGCCGTGAAGCGTATACGCTCCACCGTCGACGAGAAGGAACAGAAGCAGCTGCTCATGGATCTCGAGGTGGTCATGAAGTCCAACGAGTGTATCTACATCGTTCAGTTCTATGGTGCGCTTTTCAAAGAGGGCGACTGCTGGATTTGCATGGAACTGATGGACACCTCGTTGGACAAGTTCTACAAGTACATTTACGAGAAGCAGCAGCGCCACATTCCGGAGTCCATACTGGCTAAGATTACGGTAGCCACCGTAAATGCCCTCAACTATCTGAAGGAGGAGCTGAAGATCATCCATAGGGATGTGAAGCCGAGCAATATTCTGTTGCACCGTCGTGGTGACATCAAGCTGTGTGATTTTGGCATTTCGGGTCAGCTGGTTGACTCGATTGCCAAGACCAAAGATGCGGGCTGCAGGCCCTACATGGCGGTAAGGAAACTCATACCTTTCCAAAACCTTTTACTATAATTCTATGTAATTTCACAGCCTGAACGCATTGATCCGGAGCGCGCCAAGGGCTACGATGTACGAAGCGATGTTTGGTCTTTGGGCATAACTTTAATGGAGGTGGCTACCGGCAACTTCCCTTACCGCAAATGGGACTCGGTCTTCGAGCAGTTGTGCCAGGTACAAATGCCTTTAATATATTTTAGTGACAAGGTTTATTACAAATAACTTTTTATCTCGTGCCCTTTGTTAAAGATAACGTGGGCAGCTTACTTTCATCATTGTAGTTGATGTAGTTTAAATAATCTTAATTCTTTAGTGTCTAGTAGTGTCTTATTCATCCAGTTCTTTCGAGTATAGGAAAGTTCTCATTATTATTAATCCCATTTCCTCAGGTTGTGCAAGGTGAACCGCCAAGACTATTGACGTCCTACAACGGCATGGAGTTCTCCAAAGAGTTTGTTGACTTTGTCAATACTTGGTAAGCATCAATAAAAATTATGCGACTGCAAACTAAATCTAACAGTGCCATAATCTTTTAAGCCTGATTAAAAAGGAGAGCGACAGACCGAAGTATAGCCGGCTGTTGGAGATGCCCTTCATCCGTCGCGGTGAGACGAGCCACACCGATGTTGCCGTGTACGTTGCTGATATCCTAGAGTCGATGGAGAAAGACGGCATCACGCAGTTCACGGCCAACCAGCAAGCGGAGAGTTAATCACCCTGCGAAAGAAGCAAGTCATAAATTAACTGAGAAACAACAACAACACAACAAGCAAACTAAGCAGAAGGGCAGCAGAGAAAATTTAAATTGTTGTCTACTTTGTAGCATTCGTAGAAAACCTAGCGCATATTTTGTTAAACAGAAAACAAAACTAAGCGAAAAGTGTGTAAGCTGGTAGTAAGCATAATGTGTGTATAGTTTAAAGTCCCTAAAAAGCCTATTGTAATTCAATAATTTTTGTATTCGCGGTTTTGTGCGTCCAATTTTGTGTTGAAAATAAATTTATGTTAAAAAGCAGGCCAGCAGCAGGTGACAGTCGAGTATTTCGGCCAATAATTTGACCAGCTTTGGACTCCCCGCCCAATGCCTATTTATATACATTCAGTCAAGCGAGCATTTTATAATCCGGTTGATTTATTTATCATTAATAATGATACAAGACCAATTGGTGATGCATTTTGCGTTAATAAGCAACCACATGCAAAACTTAAGCAATATTTGTAAAAAACTTCGTGGTAACGAAGATTGACTACCCATACAAACTAACAGAAACACCAACACGCGTTAAAGTGCGTAAAAAACATAGTTCAACAAAAACTATTGAATTATAAATTATTTATTGAACAGATTTTGTAATCCTATTATATTTTTTAATTTGCATATATGAAAATGATTGTGAAAAGCTTTAAATAATAGCCAAGCGGCTGAGATGTTTAAATTGTAGTAGAAATTATTGCAGAGAAATGCAAAATTAATCCCATAATATATGAAATAATTAGCCACAACACCGACACATTCACACACTACACACATATAGACACGTTTTTATGCGTAGTAATTAGTTGTAAGCGAAGCAAAAATATTTAGCAAAAAAAAGTTACAGCTACAAAAACAAAAGTCATGTGAAAACTGAAAATAAAACAAAATAAATGTATTGTGCCTAAGTATAAACCGAAATGATAAACACTTACCAGGAGAACCACAATTTAAATTTAATCAAAACTCATAAGCCATATATAATCCCTAGCCTAGCTTTCAAACCCAAGCTTATATAGCCGTACTGCAAACACCATGCCGCATCCATCCCCATAAATGCACAGCCAAACGATTGCACCGTCTATGTCCCCGTCTCAAAACAACAACAATAACAACCAAACTAAATCGAGTAAAAACTAAAACCAATGTTTTTTGATTAACATTTTTATGCAAGCGTCAATGTGAAAGCAAAGTTTATTTTGTATACATATATACATGCATAATATATTTGCACGGGTTGCATATAGAATAAGCAAAGCAACAAAGCCTGCAGCAGTTTTCTTTTTTATTTTTTCAATGTTAGTTTGCAAAATATAATCCTACAGCATGCAGCATTTAGAGTGGAAATATATACAAATATGAAATATATTTTTATTAAGCCCGCAAACATCCCAGAATTTTCATATAGACTCGTCACAAGTAATGTTCGGCCAGCCGAGACATGTTCGCCCTTGGCAGAGTATTTACCAATTAAAAAGTACTACATTATTGAAGGGAAGCATATGCATTGGAAAAATCCAAGACAAAAAGTTAATCAACATTCCACTCGAAAAGCACATTAGTGAAGAACCTCAATCTCCAATGAAATAGTTTCTATAGTTGCAGACATGGCATACTAACTGACCGCAATGTTGAATTTAATCCCTAATCACAGGGTGGTATAGTTGAAAACAATTACCTAAGTACTTGGGCAGATCACTTTTGATATAACTAGCGGTAGAATTAATAATCATATTATACAACTCATGTGTAATGCCAGGAATAATGCAATCGCGAGTCGTCAATATTTTTGACAATAAATGGAGTATAATTTATTTGTAAAGTAAGAATAACTTAACGTCCCTTGAGAGGATATGATGAGGGCGTACGGAATGTGTATATATATGGTAGATATACTAAGGACACATGACTGGCAAATATTTATATACTAATCTATGAACCAGCTGCAAGTCAAGTGCGGTTCTTATGTCTATCAATCCCGAACTCAATTCTCAAGTGAAATCTAACACCAAGACCCCAAAGATTGGCTTCCATTGATCCCAAGGCCTTTGAATAAAATTAAATCGCAAATTTATGCCACGACCTAAAGCTCTAAACTAAATCTAACCAATGACAAAACTGGAAACGCAACGTCCACAACAATATTAATATTTGCAAACTTTTAAACCTAGCTTACACATAAGAGAGTGCTAAATTTCGGAATATTTGTGGGATCCCAGTATACGGGACCAGATCCTAAGTAAAAACCCGTTGCAGAATCAGGAGACGCTCACTCAACACTTAGCGCACTAAGTTTTACTAACTAACAGTCTACATATACGTATGAATAATCCCGGCTTGTGTCTCCGTATCTCGGCGAGAACTAATATTACACAAGGATAACCAAATACCGAAAGGGAACTATTCAAAGTCATGGCAAATACACACAGATAAATAACATAGAACTGTTGAACAAAATTGAAAAAGCTAAACACCACAAATAAAACAATTTGTAAAAATATTAATAGCAAATAAAAATTATAATTCAAAAACTCAATTAATGCGTAATAGCTGTGTAAATGGGGTTGTGATGGGCATTGGGACTCATGGCTGTTCGCCAGGAATTTCTAGGTAAATATATAATCATATAATTGTTTGATCTATTAATGATACCCGTTTGATTTTTTTATTTCTTGAAAATAAATTTAATTTGTAGGTTGAAAACAAAAATATTTTTATGTTAGTATAGTGGTTCAATATTTAATTTATAAATTAGGGAAAGGAAAAAATCAATATTCAGGAACAATACATATTTTGAAAAGATAAGCTAACTGGCTTGTATAAAAATATTTGTGTGTTGATTTCTTTAAAGAATTTTCCATTTTTAATTTTTACCTTTTTCCAGTTAGAGTATCTAAAATCACTTTAAAATTTGAGTTTTCTTTGGGGTGCATATTATTATTGACTGGCATAATTTTGAGGGGCACGCGACTCGAATGAATATCGGCACCAAATCGAGATTCGCCCCACAACGTGTGGGGCATGGAAAGAGGTGCATTAAAGCCGCAAATGCGTAATCCCCAGCTAGAAAAATTGTTAATATTCGTACACACTGTACAAACCCCGTTTTTATAGTAGAATATCGACGAATAGCAGGAAAACCAGATGAGTTGCGGTTGCAAAGCCAAGCGGAAAGGTTGTTTTAAATAGCTTTGACTGATTGAAATCATACACTGAAATTTCCAAAAATCTGGCAATTAGTCTGGCAAGGTTTTATATTTTTCTTCATCCATTGACGATTTCTTTATGGCATACATATAGAAAACTGAATGGAGCTGTGAGCTGGGATTAGTTTGCTTTCGAACGCCGTGCGTGAAGCAATTAAATTTTTGACTACGGATACGGTTTAACGACATGCTGGCCTGCATCATTTTAATCGGCTGGCTGCTGCTGGCTTGGATATACTTCCTGTGGAGCCGGCGAAGGTATTACAAAGCCGCCTGGCAGTTACGTGGACCCATTGGCTGGCCCTTGATAGGCATGGGCTTGCAGATGATGAATCCGGAGAGTAAGAGCAAAGAGGATTTCCCAAAAAGGCACTTGATAGCTCGAATTTTTGCCAGCCTTTTTGCAGTACATGGATGGCCTGTCGCGACAGTTCAAGGCCCCTTTCATTTCCTGGATGGGCACCAATTGTTTCCTCTACATCAACGATCCCAATAGTGTGGAACAGATATTTAACTCGACGCACTGCACCAATAAGGGCGATTTCTATCGATTCGTTAGTTCGGCCATAGGTGACGGACTTTTTACATCGAGCTCACCTCGTTGGCACAAACATCGTCGCCTTATTAATCCCGCCTTTGGTCGCCAGATTCTCAGCAACTTCCTGCCCATTTTCAATGCCGAGGCTCAAGTGCTCCTGGAAAAACTCGAGCTTGAGGGTGTGCAGCATGGCAAGCGGCTGGAGATCTATCAAATCCTCAAGAAAGTCGTCCTGGAAGCAGCTTGCCGTGAGTATCTAAACAGATTATGGATCTTTAAGGTTCAAACTTAATGGCTTACAGAGACCACGATGGGCAAGAAAATGAACTTCCAACATGACGGATCTATTGCCATATTTGAGGCTTATAATGGGTAACCACAAAATTCCATATTTTTGTAATATTAAAAACAAAATACAATATCCTTTCAGCTTGACAGAAGTGTGTGTAAAGCGTATGCTATCGCCTTGGCTTTATCCGGAGCTCATATATCGTCGTTCTGGACTCTTTCGCCTGCAGCAAAAGGTCGTTGGCATACTCTTTGGGTTTATAGAGCAGGTAAGCTGCTCATCCGATCAGTGAGTCATGACCACCATAACCCCTAGCTAACATGTTCCGGCAGCTTCTCGAACCGATAGTCTCGGTGGTGGCTGCCAATACCAATCCGGAGCAGCACCGACCGGAACTGGAGATGAGGGGCAAGTCCAAGGCCATTTTCATCGAGCAGGTAAGGGAGCATGTGGAGCGCGGCCAGCTGAGTTGGCAGGATGTGAGGGATGAGGCCAATGTGACCATTGCAGCGGTAGGTAAAAGTAGATCCTTAAAATAATAGTTAAATAACTTTTTACTCAGACTTTCGAGACCACATCGACGGCCCTTTACTTCACCATTCTCTGCCTGGCCATGCATCCTTGCTACCAGGAGAAACTCCACGAGGAACTGATCAGAGAACTGCCACCCACTGGGGATGTAACCTTGGAGCAGCTGCAGCGACTGGAGTACACCGAAATGGTGATCAACGAGGCCATGCGACTATTTGCTCCAGTGCCCATGGTCCTGCGATCGGCGGAGCAGGATATTAAACTGCAGCGGGATGACGGAGAGTTCCTGATCCCTCGTGGCACCCAGATCGGCATCGATATCTACAATATGCAGCGGGACGAACGGGTGTGGGGTCCACTCTCGCGCACCTACAATCCGGAGGCACATTTCGGACTGGAATCCCCGCAGAGGCACACCTTCGCCTTTGTCCCATTCACCAAGGGATTGCGCATGTGCATCGGCTACCGATATGCCCAGATGCTGATGAAACTGCTGCTGGCCAGGATCTTTCGCAGCTATCGCATCAGCACCGAGGCTCGCCTGGAGGAGCTGATGGTCAAGGGTAATATCTCCCTGAAGCTAAGGGATTATCCGCTCTGTCGGGTGGAGCGGAGATAACAGGAAGGGGTTGCTGTAATTTTTCAATTAAAAATGCCATTTTTGTTGCATTTTCCCTGCGTTGGAAATTGAGTTTGTTTCATCTTTTGCTGTTGACCTCGTTAACGATGTCCACCCCCCTCCTGCTCCTTCCCTGCCCTGCACAAATTGCCAGCTTGCAAATGGCTATAATGGATTTCAGTTTGCACTTGTTCGTGCTCACCCACAACTTTACAGCACACGTTGCGTATACAGAACATAATTGATTGAATTTCTTGAAAGGCTGGTCGACGGGAGTGGGCTATCTATTGCAACTGAGGGCCGGTCAAAGTTCCTGCCCTCAAAGAATTGGCCAAGGTGATTCCGAAGGGGGTGGAACTATTCTGCCGGTTCATCACATTTCATTACCTGATAGGAAGACATTAACTTCTTTATTGAGAAATATATTCTAATCAAGTGGAAAGAACTAAACCTATATAAAAAGGGAAAAAGTTTGTAAAGAACTTAAAAAGTATATTTCTTTTGTTTTTTAATATTTATTTTATGTTTTATTATTATTATAATTTGAGATCAAATAGCTGAGCTAAATTATTTTACACCGTGACAAAAATTCATGCATTAAAACACGCGTTTTTCAGATCAAATACAATTGGGATACATAGTATTTAAAAATAAATCTTCATAGCTTTATTTATAAGCATGTTGCTTATCATAATATGACGTCATTACCTGATCGAAGTAGTTTCTTCAGTTAACAGTGGTCTCGCTCGCGCCTACACACTAAACGCACATCGGCCGCCCGAGTTTTCAACCTTCGATAGCTCAGTTGGTAGAGCGGTGGACTGTAGTTGGTACAATATGCAATAGAAATCCATAGGTCGCTGGTTCAAATCCGGCTCGAAGGATTTTTTGTTTTATTTTTTATTGTCTCCTTACTTTTTTTTATTTTTTATTAATGATAAACAAAAATACCACGTAAACTATTAAGAAGAGACCCAAAACCGGCAAAGAAAATGAATAATTTTTTTTAAACAGGAAGAACAAGAGTATTATTCATTATGCATTATAATATCAATCCAAGTTACTTGAGAATGACCTAGTTAGCAAATATAATATATATATATATATATTTTTTCTTATAATTTTAAAGAATCTTGTGATTATAGGTGCAGCTTAAAAATATAACAGGTCAAAAAATCGCTTGACCCCACAGCAGATAGAATTAATTTCTGACCAATAAAATAAGAACGATCCATATATTATAATATATGTATTTTTATATTTGTTTGAAATATATATGTAGCATAATGTACCCGATAGCCAATGAACAGCCCCAGATCAGCGCCCCTCACCGACCTTCGATAGCTCAGTTGGTAGAGCGGTGGACTGTAGTTGAAAACAAGCAAAGAAATCCATAGGTCGCTGGTTCAAATCCGGCTCGAAGGATTTTTTGGTGAATACTTTTATTTTTTTTTTATTTAGCTTTAGTTGATAAGCTTTTTGATTTTAAACAGTTTTTTTTAAATTTTTAAAATATGATTACAATTTTAAATATTTGTTTTGCTTATTAAAATGTTGTGTCTCTCTTTAACTTTGTTTAATTGGATTTACTTAGTTAAATATGTATTAAATTGATTTTTTGTTCTTAAATAAATAATGGTGTTGTTAAAACAACAAAAGTAAGCCGAGGATTGCAAATTCATATAAAAATATAGTCTGCTGGTCACCTGGTCGTGTATTTGTTGTCGTATTAAATTACTTAATCATTGACTTGTTGCAAATACAATTTATCAACACTTTGCCGAGGTAATAATTCTATTTGCCACCCGGCCACCCCGTAATGTTTCCCCGCGCCACCAACGCCTGACAAACGAATAGATTGCTGTCTGGGCAGCCGGCCCCCAGCCACCATTTCACTTCAAGCTCCACTGCCTGCAACGAAATATGCATAATTCAATAGCAGGAGCTGCGTCCTTGCCAACGTGAATCCTGCGGAACAAGGATAAGGGGAGGGGAAGCCCCTCGACGGGAGCTGAAAAGTATGCAATAAGCGATTGCGACTCGTTAACGCTTCAAAATGCAGAGTGGGATGGATTGTGAGGCACATACAGCTATGGGAAAAATAATAGGAGTACGTACTGATTGCCAAAACATATTCCAAAATCTAGGATTTATTTATTTTAATATAATATATCTGCTTTGATATTTAAAAAATATTTGTATTTGGAGAACAAATATTTTTATATATTTTTTTTTAATATGATCATATGATCCATAATGTGATTAAATATATAAAT